GTTCCATTCAGTCGGCATTGAGCAATTTCTCCAGATTTCACGGCAAAGTTGTAGTAACGTTAGGATACCTGCAGTACCAGATGCTTTGATAATGTCAAAGTTAACATTGATTGGATTTGTTTCGTTTAACAGACGGTTGAAGTATTCTCTCCACTGTAGCTTGATCTCATCTCGTTCAAGAACCATCTCATTTTTGTCATTTTTGATACATGAAGCACCAACTATGTCTTTTTTCGTACGCTTTGCTTGTTTTGCTATACGATACAGAGATTTCATTTGTTCACCTTTGCTTTTAGTGAGCCACTCTCTGCACTGATCAGTCCGAGCCAGTGCAACTTGCCGTCTTGCATAGTTGTTCTTCTCACTGAAAATTTTATGGTCATCAACAGACTTTGATTTTTGCCATTGCTTGTATGCAACTTTCTTTTCAGCTATTTCATTTTGTACACTGTCATTCCACCACCAAGTGTCACGTTCATGCTGACGTTTTGTACCAGTTTTCCCACAAACTGTAGTTGCTGAGTTCATCAAAACGGTTTTGTATTTACTCCAATCTGTACTAGCTTGCGATTGGTGGTCTAACTGTTTTGCGACGATCTGTTGAAATTTTTCTCGATGAATATTGTTTTTCAGCTTCCACGTTTTGATTCTCCGAGGCATTTGTTTAGACTTATGTTTTGACAGTTCGACAACCAGGTCTGCCACAAGTAGTCTATGTTGGGCGACACATGATTCGCCATAACTTTGTATAATTTTGTATAACTTTGGTATAACTTTGACGTTTTTGAATAGCCTTTGGTGTTGTTGCTTGACAACGAAGAAATCAATTTGCGTGGCTGATGGTCCACTTTTGTATGTTATGAGATGTTCCAATCTCTTTCTAAAATATGTATTCAGTAAACAAAACCTGTGACTTTCAGCAAATTCAAGGATTCGGTTGCCATTGTCAAAACCATCTGTTTTCTCTCGAACGCGGCCATTGAGATCGCCTCCAATCGGGATTGTTTCAGATTTTGGTATTGTTGAGATGGTGTCAGAGAATGCAGTCCAGAAGTCATTTTTCATCTCTTCTGATTCGCCTGTCTGTGGTGCGTATGCAGAAAAAATAATCATTTTTTGCTTTTCTATGCGAAGCTTGATCCACATAAGACTTGAATTAATCCTTCTAATATCCAGTACTTCTTGGGCTAGCGGTTCTCTGACAAAAATTCCAACACCATTTTTGACAAAATAATGAAATTATGTAATAATAGTAATCAAACAGCTCAATTTTAGTGCTTTAATTGAAGTTTACATTTTTTTGTTCAAACTTTTTGTGTTTCTGTCATTTTATAATGAAGATATAGCTTAAATTACCAATTTTGGTCTTTAAATATGATAAAACAAGGTTTAGCTCAAATTTTTTTTATTTTTTCAGCTAAAACTGGAAAATGTATTGTGAAAACCATGGAATAGTTTTTAATATTACACCCATCATTGCTACGTTCTAATGACCTATTTAATCAACGGACCATATAATCTATTAATTTGATTAAATAATCTATTAATAGGATGGGTCTTATGTAAACCTTTCGCTAAGCGTTTGGGTGTCGAGTTTCAATTGTCAGAAATTTGTAGGGTCTTGAATGGGGTTTTCATACGAAAAGAAAGAGGAATAATCGCAATGACGACGAATAAATATTTAAGACGACATAATCTCAGGACTTCATAGTTTTCATCTGACAATAAATAATTTTAACTTTTTGTGTGATTTGCCACACCCGAGTGGCTTTGGACTTAATCCATCAAATACAAGCTTGTGTTGAAATGCAATACAATAAATTTTATTATAAAAAATGGATAAAATACTTTAATCAGTTCAAATCAAATAAACAATGACGTTTTATTTGTTCCTTATTTATTCAAAATTGAATCAATTTCGATCTTTGAACTTTTTAAAAATGTATTATTATCTTAAATGAACCTATTAAAAGTTATGGCTTATTAAAATTTGATACAATTGATCTTCTTTCGAAAGATCAGAACCTGCAATGCATGGTCAAAATGATGAGTCGAATGATTTGAAAGACGTGAGCCTATAACATCAAAATCAAAAAATCCCTGTCTTCCACATGCTTTGTGTCTACTTGTGTATTGTTAATTTTCTGAACTTTGGATGAATGTTATAGACTTTCAACCCTTTTTGACGAAAAAGTTGGGCGTAAACGTTTATGACTTTAAGTTTTGTATGATATTGATATCAATGTTTTAAAAATATTGAGTTAACTTGTTAATTTACGGCCACTATTGTACATTCACTTCAACGTTCTTTAAAATGTCAATGTTGTACTATCGTGGACGCTCATTCTTAGTCAGCTTGTTGTAGTACAAGTTTTTGTACTGTAACTCTATGTTGTCATTTTAAAAGCTTCAGCATTTGATCTTAAGTGTTTATCTCAAAGAATATGGAATTCATATCAACCTTCCATTAGAAATAACCTGTGTTGAACTCATTCCATAAGCAGCAGGCCACAAAGATTTCAACCCCAAATAAGTGCCCTTTGGTTACAAAACATCATTCTACGTGAGGCATAAGATTTATCTTTTCTTTTTAAACCACACCTCAGACAGAATGTATTATGACAAACGTAGTTTAAGCAATAAACTCAATGACGCCGAATTAAATTGTATCAGTCATATCAAACAGGAAATTATGTTTCATCCTTTATCTAATTTGTCACTCAACAACGATTAAGATAACTATAGTATCTAATCATGGACTTCTTAATAATAAACTACTATTTAAAAGTCCATGATCTTATTAACGAGTTTTTAAGACTCAACTATATATAAGTGTAAAATAAAATGTACCCACGTTGTCCATCTATCGCTACCGTTACCCCAAATAATTTAAAAAACGTAACCATAACCTAACAGCACAAAACGATAAGCAAAAAATATCACTCCAAAATGTTAAATGATTAATTTAAAATATTTTCGCAAATCTATTCTGTGTTCCCCTTTTCGACTCAAAATTTCTTACTAAAAAAAGACTGGAGTTTTTGGTTACTGGCAGAAGACAAAATTATTTTTAAAATGAGCTCAAAGTGAGAAATTATTTCACTGAAGTGCACTGTCTTATGTGGAAGAGTTTATAAATTTAGTTCCTATACAAAGTCGATTGAGACTCAATAACCGATATAACTTTACACAAACTCCTATTATCATTCCAATAGAACAAACTCTACTTAAAAAGACAAGAAAATTGTTAGCACAATTAAGATCGGGCCATTGTCACTTCTTCAACGCCTACCAGAACAGAACCAACCCAAACATCCCAGACATCTGCCCAGCACGTAACAACAGACCTCATTATGTTCATCATCTTTTCAACTGTCCCAACAACCAGCAGAACTTAAACCAATTCATCTTTGAACAAAACTAACAGAAGTTTCTGCTTGACTAATAACTACAAAAACAATCTTCGCATAACCATCAATCGATTTTTGGCAACACAACATCTTGTGTTTCCTAAATTTTGGAGTGAAAATGTTCACGACTGTTTTGGCCTTAAATTCTCTTAAGCTATCTTCATCTTGTTGAATTTCAAAAACAAGATGGAGATAATTTGATAGAGGCACTCTACAATTATACAATACAGTACAATACCTTTGACGAACTTCGAAAATAGTCAAAAAACAAATTTAAACTCATTTTTAACACTTTGAAAAAAGATAAAATTTTAAATAATAAGTGTAGCTTATTGGCAGATACAGTGGATTAAAACTTTAAAATTTAAAACTTATCCTCGGAGTTTTATTATAATAAAAGTTTTAAATTTCTATTAGAGAAATTTTAAACTCTAATGAGCATCAAAAGTTGCTTGTAAATACTGGTATAAAACTTTTATAAACCGCTAACTTTTGTTTTTTGTAGTAACTTAATGAAACATTGTTGATTTGTTTATCTTTTTAATCTAGTTGTTGCTGTTTGATTATGACAAAGTTGAAATGGCAAATATGAATCGGCTGTTTTTTCAGCCTCACCAGTCAGGTCTTAGCAAAGTTCATGCTGCTGCATCTACATTAGAGTCAGTAGATTTTTTTGACATTTTTTACTTTTATCAGTTGCTACAAGTTTTTCGATCAATTCGCCAAATATATTTGTCTATTTTTCAAAGATAAATAATGCAATTGATTGATAGTGCAGTTCGATATTGCCAATTATCCCCTCGTTATTAAAGTTAAATTGCTTACTAGGTCGAGTCAGAGCTGGATAACTTTGTCAACCCTTCTCCTTATCCTGTCATTGAATATCTGACATCAAATTTAAAGATTTATAAAGACAGGTCTTAATCTTTTGGGTTCCGCTACCTTCAGTACCATAACCCATGGTCTAGAGGCTTAAAACCGAAAAAATATTCGAATCGATAGGCTTAAGTAGTTTGCACAAAAAGGTTAATAGTCTACTACATTCTTTCTAGGTTCAGAAGAATCAACAGCACACAGACATCGTATATGCCAAACGTTGCATCATGCACAAAGCTTGTGGTAAGTGTTGGTTCATTTATTATATTCGAACCCCGTCAATGCAAAACAGCACCAGGCTACCTTAACCACTAGGCCTTTTGCGCCGTCCATTAATAAGGTGAAGTTGTTTTTACCTCACTAGGTCAGGAATTTTTTGAGCAATCTTAACAATTTATTTCTTGCATGAAGTTTTTTTCAGAATTTAGACTTTGATGACAAGTAAGATATGTTGTCAGAAATGGAAAAAGATTGTAAAACAAAACAGGAGGTGGCTGTAAACACTTGATCTAAAATTGTATAACTGTCATTTTTGCTGCATCACTATTAACGAGTTCTATAAACTCTTTATTATTGTGTTTCATAAACAATTCAAAATTGAACTGTAAATTTAATTTTGGCAAGTGCAGCAAACCGAATGTCAGTATTTCGTAAATTAATTAGTACTATATAAACAAACTTTGTGTTAATGCTAGCACAAAAAAAGTTTAAAACATTGTACAATTTCATAATAAGAACGCGATAGACAAAAATCATGTTTCCGATGGTTTTTGGTGACTTTGGGAAATCTTAATCAATCCCCGACGGGGTTGATTTATAACATTTGTGGAGGCGGCGTTGTTTTTCTTCACCTGAATTTATCAATAAAAAATTTAAATTGAATAGGCTTTGGATTACATTTCATCACTTTTTATATTTTATCTTTTACATTGATGAAATTGTTAACTTGTTTGCAGATTCATAAATCCTGATGTTAGTTTTGAGACTTACAACTATGACATTACTCTCATTGACAATTACGACCATTTTACATCAAAAATAAAGTTTGTGCTGTTAGCTATTTTATATCAAAAATAAGTTTGTGTGGTTAAAAAGTTTTGTTTTAAATTTTGTCATAGATAGTACTTGGATTTAAAAACAGCTTATTTTATATTTTTATATCTTTTTTATTTTTTAAAAATCAAACTTTGACACAGAATCTGTAAATTTAGCAGTTATTAGTTTTATTATTAATAATTTGCGTAGGTTAAAATAACTGATCCTTGGTCGTTATGTGATTTAAGGTCATAGAAGTCATAAGTTTAAAAAAATCTTGAATTGCCATATTTTAATATGACTAGTTGTAATTGATTCTAGCACGTAGAAATAATAATTTCAGGAGTGGCGGTTTGCACGGAGGCCATGTTGATCTGGTGTTGAGTTGCGTCGACAATTTTGAAGCTAGAATTACCATCAATGCAGTTTGTGTTTTTTTTCCGTACATCAATTGCTGTTTTTCAGTACTCTAATATTTTGTTAAAATACATTTCTAAACGCTGAACATAGTGTGGTAGATAGCTGGGATGACAATTTTGAATCGTGCAACAAAATGTTGGTTTAGTTTAATGCGGAATAATTTCGAAATAATGGAGGTGACAATTTATTTTATAAACCACGTCTAGAAAATTAATCAAATTTATATTGAAATTAGGAAATTTATTTAATATTGAACGAAATAACAAAAAATGAGAAAAAAATAAAGGTAGTTTAGGATAAATTCAGATAAATAAGAACCTTTTTTGCTATAGAAGTATTCCACTAATTTCAATTATATATAAATATATATTCATAATATTAATATATAAAGTTGCACGAGTAGCTGTAATATGTTAAACTTTTGTAAAACGTGAGTAGTGTCGATAGAAGTCTGAATAGACTATTAAAAACAGAACATGGAATGCTAAGAAGAATGAAAAACGTATCTTCCTGTTTAGAGGTGCATAGAGGTTTTTTCCACAGTTTATGAAAATATGTTTTTTAAGAGCTAGCTAGTTTGCAATGATTTGATTTTATTATTATTGTTTTAAGAATAATTCACAATCATGTGCAATTTAATTTAAAAGTTATTGCCGTTCAACACCCAGTTCTTCAGCTTGGTTCATGAAAAACTGGGGAAAAGATTTTTGTTACTTCGAATATATTTAAAGCTGAATGACATCTAAAATTATGTTTTATAAATTTGATGTTTTAAAAACGTTTTATGGCAAAAGTAGATAAACTAAATTATATAAACTGGTGACATTATAGTCCTAATGTTTGAGTTTTTCTAGTATTGCTTCATTTTCAGATATGCAATCAGTTGAATCAGAAGTGGTTTGAATCGGGCGTCAGTGAGAATGCTGTTTCAGGTCATATCCAGTTCATTATACCCGGCGAGACGTCCTGCTTTGCAGTAATTACTTGCTCTTTTTTGCTCATTTCACACTTCATAATAAACATCGTTCGTAATTACATAATCATAGTTGTTAATGCATGAATTTTGCGTTCCATTTTCTATTTATAGAATTTTTTATATTTTTATTTTCGTGTTTTTTATTATATGAGCAATATATTCATCAATTATAACTAGTCAGCATTTTACTAAATGAATGAAATTTTTACTTTACATCACTATTTCTCATTAATTTATCAATGGTTATTCTATTTCATTAACTCTTCAATGAATGAAATCATGTAAGTTGAACAAGTTGCGATAAAAATAGGAAATAGAATGCTACTATTTCTAAGATTTGCAGATAACCGGGCAATGGTTTGAAAGGCACAAAAGGAATAGCAAAGCGTCATAGATAGGCTGGGACGAACAGCTGAATGAAGATTAATGTGATGAAAAAATTCGATAGTCATAAGTACTAAAAGCGATATCCAAATGATGTTAACAGTCTGCGTGAGATTGATAGACATAGTCATAGTTCTGTTACCTCGGAAGTCTGATTGCTGGAAATACCAGTTCCAGAGATATCAAACAGCAATGGAAAAGGAAGCGTTTTGCTTATGAATTGTGGATTATTTGTGCGGCGCGATAGTGTAGCGGTAATGCGTCTGGCACTGTTATTGCAGTGACTGGATTTTTTGCATTTTTCCTGGAGACGTACCGAATGCTCGAATATTCTGCCAAAATTTTACATTCTGCTTCGACTATTTTTGGCCGAATAGTAAAATTTTCGTTTAAATCTTTTTTTTCAAATTCCAGAACAATAATTGTTGAATATTATTAGCGGAAAAATTATTTTGGCCATTATAGCTGTTGAAACGTGTGAATATGAACGTAATCTCGATAAAGATTTGTTGGATAAACACAATTTGCCTGCGGGTTTTTCAATGACAGAATTTTCATTCTAAAAAACAAATTTTTTTTCAAAACTTTTGGTTTTATGGTATGTAGCCTTCGGCTTCGGTCAAGTAGTGGATCAACTATTATTAGTCCTTTGGCCAAATTCACTATTAGGTGCATCTATATTTTTCCCGTGCCAAGTCCTATCTTATTTTAATTTTTTTGTAATGATTTTATAATGGTTTTGCTCTTTATTTTTTATTTTGCATACAATATTAATTTGTCTTGATTATCTTGTTTTACATCAGTGTAAGAAATAATTTTTGGTTTGTGATATGTGATAAACATGCTGAAAATTTTGCATTTCCAGTGTGCCCCTCCGCTGATTGTGGCGACAAATATTGATGAAAAATCGTTGAAAAAAGATGGAGTGTGCGCTGCTAGTCTGCCTACCACTATGGGCATTGTTGCTGGGTTCTTGGTTCAAAACGCTTTGAAGTCAGAATGTTTTATTATTCCATTGTTCATCGTTTTTGTAATTGTTTCAAATCAGTTTAACTGTTCATTTATTTATAATGCATCATCGTGTTAATGATTATTAATTTAATACATTAACAAGTTTTATAAATAAAAGGGAGCTGTTTAGAATATTTAAAAAAAGTTAATTATTGTCTCCAGTTTTATAAATTCATGTCAACAGTCCAGATGTGAGATTATTAGATATGGAGCAGGACAATTGACGCCAAAATTCTGCTAGAGTTGATCGAAAGGAACTGAATGACTTATATCAACAGTATGAAAAGGGAGCGTTGCCCTCAAAATATTCTTAATCTTTCGGATTACGACCTAACAGAGGATCAATGGACCTGGATACTGGGTAAAGGATTGGGTTTCATAAACACACCGAAAAATTGAAAATATTCGAAATTACTACAGGTATTGATAAATTAATTAGGGACATAAGAATTAATGATTTTTCTAGCAATAATAAAAATGTAATAAAATCTTTACTACCGGATCTACCTAACTATAGAAGATTCTTTAAGTCTAGATGGAATCCACCGCGGTCGAAGCTATCTAATAATTGCATAGCAGCCACGGAGGAAATTTATTAACTTAAAAAAGAATTCACTTCTAAAAATGGAACTTCATTAAACTCAATCTTAGGAGATCAAATATCAATAACATAGAAAGAAGAGCTCTATACGAATTAAGAAAGAATGACAATATTTCATACGAAAAGCAGACAAAGAGAATGTCTTTGTGATTATGAATAAAATTAATTACATAAAAAAAGTAGAGATACAACTTTCCGACAGAGCCTTCTACAGAAAAAAATACTGGTCCCATTAATATTGAACAAGAAATTATGAATTTACTACTAATAATAAGAAAATGAAGATTATAAACAAAAGAAGGCTGTTGGACCTGGCACCACCCGTGACACCAAGAACGAGATACTTCTACACTCTACCGAAAATCCACAAGGAAAAGGCTGAATGGATGAATGAATACACCCCTAAAGGGAGACCCATCATCAGTGATATTAATTCCATTAATCAGCCGTTATCCATGTTTGTGAAACAACTTTTAAAACACATGAAATTTGTCGTGAAAGACACGAAGACGTTTGTTAGAAGGATATCAACGACCTTCACGAACCATCAGCAAATTCTTGTTACGGCAGATGTTTCGAGCCTATATACTAATATGAACAATAATAGATCTATTGAAGTAGTTAGACAGACTCTGGAACAATATATGCCGAATAATAAATATAATAATCTAACTATAGAAGCTCAAGCCCAACCGCGATGACTGCATAGCCACATCGGTGGAAAACGACAACCGCGTTCGAGTAGTTTAGAAAGTTTGGATAAGTTTTGATATTGAGCGATAGTTGGTGATTGTCTCGAGTGGAGTGTGACGATTAAGCAAAGCCCTGATAAAAGTGTTTGAATTTATGAGAAGGAGAGATTTGTACGTGCGTGAGAGGTGATGTTCAAAAAATGCCTACGTCGCGAAAATTATTTTGTTGTCAGTGAATGACGCCCGATGCTCTCACACTTCTTGTTGCGATACAGTATTTTTTAGTTATTGTTAAGTATTTCTCTAGTAATTGCTATTCCGTGATTATCGATTAAATAATTTTTTATTGCACCTCTTTGTGGATGCATAGTTAATCTTCGTGTCATTGTAACAGTAGTATGTCCGATATATTCTGAATTTCGGTGCCCACATTCAGTGATAGCACATTTAAAGGAATATATCGGGTGACTACTTTTCATTATTGATTTTTGTTTTTTATTACAATTATATTTAAGAATAAGGGAAGAAGTTCTGTTGTTGGCATAGTAAATTCTAAGTTGTAATTTGTCATTCCTATCGATTGTTTTGACTTTATAACTGTTTTTTAGTAATCGTTCACCCGTTCTATATGACGTAGACAAAGTTTTTATAATATATTGTTATAGTATTGGCTCCAGTGGACCGGTTCCTATCATCTTGTTGCTCTCGTTTTAAGATGAACAAATTAATGGGTAACTTTTTATAGCCATTATTAATTGACAGTTCGGTCACTCCCTTCATTTCTTCTGTCCTGTCTGTACAGTGTTTAAAGGCACGACTGACCAGCAACGAAATCGCGCTTTTTAAATATGTTTCTTAGCATTCACTGTCCCGTTTAACATTCTTCTTTGTTATTGATGTAGCGGTTTTGAGTTATTGGGTTTTGGTGAATATATTTTTTTCAGATGTTTCATGACAAAGTAATTAATAATATCCACGATTGAATTTTAGTTTTTAATAAATATCAGCTCGGTTTGGATCTTCAAGCTGATTCAGTTCTATGCTTATGATGTTGTAGGAATGTATGCAGACCACATTAGATAAACAAACATAATTTTATTGTTTTCACGCAAAATGAGGATGCCTGTCCACCATCCTAGTCAATTTTCGGATGACTGAGCTTTGAGCAATTTCCTTTACACTAATGGCGATATAATAGTTTTGTAGGGAAATTTTTAAACATTTGTGAAAAACATTGTTGTAAATATAGTGCTGACGTCTTATAATTATTGTCTTTTAATAATGATATGTTTAAATTTTAAGACATTTGTTAAAGTTTGGTGAGGTGTCCCATTATCTCGGATATAATGCCTTGCAAGATTTTTTTCCAACTATGTCAATGAAACCTAATCCTCAATGTACGGATCGTCATTGTTTGATACGGCAAAATGAATATCAGGTTTTTATTTTCGTTTTCATTCTTCAATTTTACAGTATCTGTCATAATAAAATCATAAAAGGTAAAAATTGTAAATAGTTTGGGATGCCTTCAGTAGTAAAAAGTTGTCAAGGAAGTACATAAAAAAAACATTCAACATTTTTGGAGTATTACTTGAAATAGCAGTAGAACTTTATTAAAGAGGTTAATTCTGATCTAAGAAAAAAGGTTTGAAAGATTCTTAAGAATTTTTGTACTAATGTAAAGTGCATGAAAACTTATCAAATGAACAACTTTTGAAGGCGGTTAGAGAAAAGTAGCTGAAAAGTTTATTTTATTAATTAATTAATTTATTTTATTTGTTTCCTTTTAAAAGAATCACAAAAGGTGGAACAAAAACCGTACCATAGCCACCATCAAAAAAAGTAAAGCAATAAGTGTAGAGTTATAAGTGTAAGGTAAGAGTTATGAAATAAATTAATTTGAAAGAAAAGAAAAGATTCAAACAAACAGATAACTTGGAGAACAATTACAATGCTACCAATCCAAAGATTACAAAGATTACAAATATACATTAGAACTGAAAAAAGTAGAATGACTCCTATTAGAAAGAAAATTTATTATATTGTAAATGTTGTCAGGTAGAGAAAGAGAGGCTAACTTATTTGAAAGTGAGAAGTGATTGAAAGTGTCAAAAGCTATAGAAAAGTTTAGAGCAATAAAATGAACATAATTATTATTTTTAAGAAGAGATGTTATTATAGAAGTAAGATAAATGATGGCGGATGTAGAGGAACCTGTAGGGCAAAATGCGAACTGATCTTGTAATAGTGGTTTGATAGATGGATGATTGAAACATGGATAGATGAATGACTTAATGAATTTTTCTAGAATGTGTAAAAGGTTGGGGGTGATAGAAATTGGGCGGTAATCTATTGGTGATGATTTTGTTTTAGGAATTGGATGTATTGGGCTGGATTTCTATTGTGATGAATAAATCAAATCAAAATTCTATTTATTTTAAATCCAAAAACTCATAATGAAAAGAAAAACAGATCAATCAATTAATCAAATAAATGAATACATTAAGCAGTGATTGTAGAACGAACTTAAGGTGCTGCAGATGAGTGGTGTTATGAATTGTAGAAACCATGGTGGGAAACTGTATTAAAGTTGTTGTTGATGTGTCCTAATTTTATGTATTTATTTTTTTTGGACGGAGTAGATATATATTTATTTTTTTATTCATTGATTGATTGATTGAGTTATTATTTATCCATTTCTTTATTTATAAAATGTGTATATACATAATTTAGGCCTTTATAAAAGAAAATCCCACTGCCGAGTTTAAAAAATTAGAAGAGGATCCGGATCCTGTGAAGCATGATAATAATGAATGGGGTCCGTTTTTTCATTTATTTGTGAACAACATCAAGGCATCAATACGTTTTAAAATAGATGATATAATAGCACCTTTCCTTTAATGCGCGCTTATTTTGTCATTCTACTCAGGCATGCCCATATATATTAATTCTTATATGGGAGAAAGCGCAATTTTTCTGTCACCGAGTATTTTCGTTTATTAGAAATCGATCGAAACATTGGCTCGTCATGTGATAACTCGAAAAAAGTAAATAACGATCATTTTTTTGGTTCATACATATATGTGTTAACTTCCAATTTAACCTTTCGAAAAGTTAAATTGGAAGTTAACTAACGCCGAACATGCTGTAATTTTCATCGATAATTGCATTTCTGACAGTCTTAATCTTATATATATATATATATATATATATAATCTTATATATATATATATATATATATTTATATCTTCGGTTGTTATATCCTCTATATATATACATGCTATTTTTACTCATGTATATGTGTATATATATATATATCATTGTCCAAATATGGAGTTCGATTGACATTTGAAAAACTGGCCCTGATAGAGACCATTGGAGAGATGTCGTGAGGAAATCAGTGGATGCACACAGCTGATGGATGGTGATGATGATGTATGGGCAGCTATTGATGCTATTTTTATTGTTAGACAAATTAAAGAAAAGTTCAGAGCCAAGAAAAAAACTGGCTCCTATGGCGGAGAGTGAGGAAGAACTGAAAAAAGCTCTCAGTGTGGAAAATATCCATTGAAGGAATCAAAGATAAATGTTGAAAAAACCGAATTTATGTGGAAGGGAGAGGATTCGGGCTCTTGGGTGTGGTTAATTCCCCTGTGCGGTGTGTGGTAAAGAAGTCAGAGGAAATTCCTTACTATGTGTAAAATGAAATGATTGGATGCACAAACGATGCAGTGTTTTATAAAGAGACCTCAACAAAAGAAAGCAAGAAATTTGTTTGTAAACGAAGTAGTTTGAAAGATATTAATAAGCGAAAAGGTGATTCTGGGCACCTGGGAAATTTGGGGTTTGAAAGAATGGATTTCTTTTGTTTTCTAGGTGATATAGGCTACTAAGCAAGGAGAATTAATTGGATAGAGCGGTCGAGAATAGAATAAAAATGAAAAATTCAGAGAATGACTTCAGTGCTGTGTTCTTGGTATATACCATTGGATCTAAAGGGTAAGATATATAAAGCTTGCGTAAGAAGTTGCTTGTCGAATGGGTGCGAAACTTGGGCTATGACGGCTGAAAACTTAAGAAGGCTGGAGAACAGAAAAGCAGATGTTGAGAAAAATAATGGGAGTATCCTTGAATGGTTTAAGTAATGAGGTACTAAAAAGAGGGTAGGGGATAGATGCGACAAGGCCAATCCGGGGTTTTTGTCTGCAAACCCTGTAACGAACATTGGGCGGGTCTGCCTTTCAGGGTTGAGTGTCTATAAACGTACTTGATGATGACGGGCATGCCTTCATGATAGTCCGTTTGTCTGTCGTCTTCATCACTTGGCTTAATGTAATTTGAACTTGTCATTTTTTCACTGACATGCTATCCTCGTGAAAATGGAAAAATTGCAAACAATTGTTTTTAAACTGATTTTTGAAAGTGAAAGAAAAGGCTTGCAAATTAACATCAACAAAACAGTGCATGGTTATCAGTAAAAGAAGAACCGCCCCGATCTACTCCATAATCAGTAATGGTAAACAGTTGAAACAAGCTAACACCTTCAATTTTCTCGGAAGTCTGATTACCTCAGGTTGTAAATGTGATACGGATATCAAACGAAGTATATCTATGGCGAAAGATGCATATTCTAAAATGAAAAACATTCCCACCAAAAGTAAAATCAGAATATCAACAAAATTAAAACTGTTACGGTGTTACATTTTTCCTGTACTAACTTACGGCTCTGAGTCTTGGACAATTTCTAAAGAAATGGGAAAAAAGATTAACGCTGCGAGATGTGGTTTATAGAAGAATTATGAAAATTAGTTGGACCTCTCATACTTTGAATGAGGATGTATTTAAACAGTCTGGTTATGAAAAGAGGAAAATACTACTGATAATCCGATGGGGGCAGTTAAAGTTTTTTGGTTTCATCATGCGGAAGAAAGGAATGAAAAATCTAACAACTACTGGAAAGATTGCATGGATAGCGGTCAACAACGAATAACATTCGTGAAGTCCTTGTGTCACTTGTTGAATATCACCACATTTCAACTACTACAAAATGTTAAAGATCGGGTTTTGTGGAGGTCGATGGTCGCCAATGTCCCGAAAGGAAAAGAAAGAAAGAAGAAGAAGAAAGTTATCCTCGTGTTGTTGTCATTTGATATTTGTCAGAGATTCTTCCGTAATATATTTCCATGTTTATGTCATTTGGGATCTTATTAATTTTTTTTCTTTGATTTTTCACCTGATTCTACTATGTCCTCATTTAAAAAACATTTATTTTCAATCATTTTTATTGGTTTCAAATTTTGTGCACACACACTGTGTTCTACCGATGTTAGCAGATGTTAATCGCCGATGATGTTTTTTCTTGACATTGATGCGAAAAGTTCTAATGCATTTTATTTGATGACTTGCGTAAAGCCTCTTGTAAAAGTAATAAAGTCTCTTGTAAAAATACCTCAGAAGCGCTAGCTTTGCTGTGGTTTGTTGAACAAATGATTTTTTAAACGTTTCTTGAACGCTTTTCGGTTTGTGTTGTTAAATTTTTTTGGTTCTACAGGTAAAATATTCCAAATTTGATCTGACGATACCGCAGGAATTCTAGAACCGCGGATCTTCATTGTTTTTGTTACATTTTCTAGAACCGCGGATTTTCATTGTTTTTGTAAGATTTTCTAGAACCACGGATCTCCATTGTTTTTATAAGACTTCGTTTCGCAAATTCGAAAACCGATTGCAGTTTTTTTCCCAAATAACTTGAAGCATCGAGGAAAAGAAAATCTCTGGCAAGAATTATTTTAAAAGTACTTTTTCTGACGTAGGAAGCTAGTGTAGCTCATCTATAAAAAAAAAGTTAAACCATTTGTATTTTAAATATTTTGTGGCAAATTTCATAACTATAATAACAAATGCATAAAATTTATCATAATTTTTTAATGTTGACGTTTATTTCTAGTATTTTTCTTATTCTGAAGGAATAGAGTTAATACACGAGGATTTGAAAAATAATGATACAAATGATAGATTGCTTCTTGCTGAAGGAATCACGACAGCATATACATTACCTGATACGTATAATGAAGTATGATTTTTTTTACTTGGTATAGTAATTTTTAAACATCTGCATTTTATTAGTATTTTGAAAAGATATATTTTGTTTTGAGTTGAATAAAACTGTATAAGAAGCCGCTGATTAGATATAACGACATAATGAGATCTCGTGTGAAATTTTTAAAATGAAACTATTAACATTACTAAAACCGTTCAGTATAAATAGCTCATTCATTCATTCATTTATCCATTCATTCATTGGTACATGTATTTATTAAGTTCTCTACTCTCGATAGGTTCCGCATTCCACCGTTTCCATTCTTTACTATTCAGGGCTTTCTATTTCCTCCATCTCTGTCTGACCTCTAGCATTTTTTATTCCCAGCCATATTGTCTCGCCCGTGTCATATCTTTTCCTCAAATACTGCAATAAAGTCTCACATCAGTACGACGTAATTGTTGCTTTTATTTTTGTTGAGATATTTCCATATCTGATGGGTACATTTAAATTAGTAACTTGGCTTTAAAAACTGTTTGATCAGCTGTTAATAAGGAAGTTGAATCTTTCATGTAGTGTTGTGCGGGTTGCTCGCCGTTTTCCCATTTCAGTAATAAGTCTATATATGATAACATAAAAAGACATATGATGACATAGAGTACAGAATTTTTCACTGGCACTGAAACCTTAAACCAGATCATTATCATCTAAAACTTTTTATAGTACGTTTGTGAAAGCTCTTTTGCTATACCTTCATACATTTCAAATTTTTGTGGGTATCATGAAAGTTACGAACAAGACCGTCATACAAGTTGACTCAGTTATTATTATTATCCACTAAAAAATAGAATCTGACAAACGCAGAAACTGTTACAGCATGCAATGCAATAGTATAAAACAACGAAAAATAAATAACGGAGAAAAAATGTTTAAGCATGAAAATGTATGGAAAATAAAATAAAGTCAATCAATCAATCCTCGTTTTAAGTCTATTCACTATGGGTTGGACTTTTTTATTCCAGCCATCAGCTTCTGCCTCCAAGTCGATTGATCCATTGCATTGGAAGATAAAGTAATGGTTTAAAAAAGCAAATAAATAATATAATTTATTAATAGACTAGTTAATGACTTAGTAAATTAGTTAAATGATCGATAAGAAAAAAGAAAACTAAATTGAGTAAATTTAAGGTTTGTGTGGAGCTATGCTGACAATATCAATTTTTTGGAGCAAGTCTTTTCAAATAACACACATTTACACTGCCTCGAATTGGTCCAACTTCTTTATGACCTTGTCACCCTTTGATATAATAACTGATTCTAAATTTTGTGAGGGAGATGATCTTAGATGTGCAGTTATCTCCCCAATTTACTGGATAACTTCAATAACTGCATTCTTTGTCATGCATCTCATGTTTCAAATCGGCATCTCCTACTGACTCTAATATACCCTCATAATTTTTAGGCAAAAAGAGCTATTATTTTATTAAATGCTACTTATAATAATTAGTTCCAAATGGAATTTTATGTATTTCGATAAATTTGCTTGGTTTACCTGAAATCACAAAATCAATTTTCGATAGTTATTATTTATATTAAAATGTCTCAATTATTGTTTTAACAGTTGCCTGGTTCCACATTAAAAGAAGATGAAATTTCCTTGGAAGACCTTATGAAAGATCTTATCAACGTTTCTAACCAATGATTTTGTTTCTTTTTTAAGAACTATATGCTCAAGAAATATTGTAAAAAAAATTTGGCAAGTCGTGTTTTAAAAATTAAGATTTTCAGAAGTGAAAAAATGCAAGGAAAAGCGATTTCAGTGTATATGTATAAATGGTTTAAATTGCATAATGTGCATAAAATACGACGGTCATATAAAAAATAAGAATAAAAAAGTTTGCTGCAGAATTCGACTGACTAGGAAAAATAAAATAATTCATTACCGAATGTCATTTATTTGATATCGGGCTTCTAACGAGCATGAAGCACAAACTGCTTAACTTCATTTCGCCTGAAAAACAAGAAAGTTACTTCATACATTAGACAATCAAATGTTAGGATGTACTGTAGAAAGAGATTTTAAAGTATTTTTATATACATTTTTTTCATTTCAAATTTTCTAACAGAATTGGGTTTTTTGAAGATCGAGTAGGCCAATCAGGTAGCTTTGATTTTTGGGATTTTGTGCATGTTTATATAGACGACTAAATTATACCTGCACGTTCTGTAGAAAGGAACTCTTGCTCAACGTTCCTAGGGTATTTTAAATTATTTTTTTTCTCAAATTTTTACACGTGAACTGGTTTTATAAAGATTGAGTATCTATTAGCCTTGGTCTTTTATTTTTTTGCATGGATAGACATTAGACAATTAAAGTTTATACACGTACTGTAGAAAAGAATTTTAACCCATTGCTAGGAACATTTATTAGAGTGTATACATGTTATATTCTTTATGTATATAACTGGGAAGTATTTTAAATTATTTTTTTTTATTTCAAATTTACAACGCAGAAATGTGTTTTTCAAAAACTGGGTATCCAGTATCCCTAAATCAATTCACCCAATTTCTAAAGATTCAACCGATTAACAAATAATCGCTCAATCAAAAAATAACTCAAAATATATATAATAGACCCAACAAACATCAAAAATAATCAATAAAACAAGTATATACAAATCAATCAATCAGGTAAGTAATAATTGAAAAAATACAGCAAGCAATTGAACAAGCAATCAATCAACTAACCAAAAAATCAAACAAGCAATGAGACCATATTTTAAAAAACGGTCAATCAAAAAGCTACTAAAAATATAAATAATAGACCCAACAAACAGCAAAAATGATCAATAAAACAGGTGTATACACATCAAATAATTAAACAGGTAATAAACTAATAAAGTAAAATGACAATCAATTAGTTTATAAAGTGCTATTTCTGCGATGTTTAACAGCGCTCCTCAATGAATTTTGCAAACAGATGGGTCTTGAGATCCGCTTTTTACTTCGTAAGTGATAGAGAAGTCGTTAGAGAAGGAGGTAGAAAGTTCCATAGAAAAGGGTCAGAAAAAGCAAAAGCAGATTTAGCAAATTAGCGTTTACACACGAGTTAAGAGAGAACAAGAAGACGATCGTAAACCGGCGCTTTTTGGTTCAATTAATATATCTGATAAGTACTTAGGAAATAATTTAGAATGAGACTTATACATGTGCAAATTTAAAAATTTTTCCATATTTTATAGGTAACCAGAGCAAGAGAACAAGATATGGAAAAGAAAAGAAAGGGACACGAGCAACTAGACGAGTAACTGAGTTAAAAGCTTTACTTAAAGGATAGAGTGTAGAATCAGAAAGACCATAGCAGAACGAGTTACAATAATCAATCCTAGATAAGACTGAGGAAGTAGCAAGAAGAAAAATAGGATGGTAAAGAATAGGCAAAAGTTTTTTATTCTACGTTGATGAAAGTAAGAACTTTTAGCAACACTATTAATCTGAGAAGAAAGAGACATGCTAGAATGAAAGGTAAAGCCTAGACTATGAAACTTTTGAGAAACATCAAGAGTTTTTGAATATTGTATGTTAATAGGAGGAATAGTAATAGAGTGTTTAGATTTATCAAAACAAATTAATTTAAATTTAGAAGGATTAAGTTTAAGACCAAGCGATAATTGAAGAAAGACATTGATAGATTATGAAGAAAAAGAATATTTTGTTCTACTGCCTTACATGTTGTTACAGTTTCTGCGTCTGTCAGATCCTGATTTTTAAAGAATAATAAAAAAAAGAATTATAGATTTAAGAATCATCAGCATATAGTTGACTAGTGAGAGAAAAATTATTAATAATACGAGGTAGTTCAGATGTGAAGAGTATAAATAGAAGAGAGCCAAGGATAGAACCCTGAGCTACACCAAAAGTAAGGGTAGAAGAGTTAGAAGTAGAATTATTAAGAACAACAGAAGAAAAACGATTACAGAAATAGGAAGAAAACCAAGATAGACAAGAATCAGTAATATTAAAAAAATCATCTAGCCGCCTCAAGAGAACAGTATGATTAACAGTATCAAAGGCAGAGGAAAGTCAAGAGCAAGAAGAAAAAATTATGTAATAATCAGATAAACATAGAACAAAAATCAATATTCAATTGAACAAGTATTAAGTCGATTACGCAAGCATCTAAAAGTCAAACAACTAATCAAAAGAACATCATGAGAGGGAGTTGAATCGTCTGTCGCTATTACAATGCCAAGAGACTCCAGTCAAATTAGTAAAAGAACACATCCATGACTCAGAGATTACACGATAGTCTAAATTGACAGTAAAACTATCCGAGGTTCTTTATAAATTTTCAAGAAAATACATTATTCAGCAAATGCCGATCTTCACACATGGGCAAAACAACCAATGCACTATGCCCTCTTTGCAACTTGAAACAAACTAAACTAATAAACATGTTTTGTCAAATTGTATCTCCATGGCAGCACTCAAACGATACTTCAATCGCCACAGCGAAATTATTTCAATAATTGTCAACAACATCGAAGCATGCGCTGGTTCGAATATCGTCAATTTGCAGATGTGGTAAATGGAACGACACGTCCACTATCAGATCGTTTAGACCAGATATCGCCAACCTCAGCAATAATACAATTGAAATACTAGACTTGACTATTTGACATGAAACAGACTTTGTTAAGTTCAGGCAATACCAAGTCGATAAATATACAACCAGTCTCAAAAATAACCTAGTGAAAGATTTTAAACAATATAATATTTTAATAAATACTTTCAAATTATCTCCTATAGGGTATAGGCTTTTTACATTTCCTGTAATTTATATTTAATCAAAATTGATTATACCGATTATTTTGGCCATAGCTTAATTAGCAGTGTCATATCGTCATCATATGTCGTATATTGCAATAAGAACAAAGCATAAATCAATTTTTCATAACTATTTTATCATCACTGTTCTTATTTTCCTTTTTAAATAAAGAGCAATGATGACTAACCACTATAATTGTGATTTTAATTACATTTATTTTCTATTATTGACTTTTATGCATTTGATAAAAAACAAAAGGTATGTTCCCATTAATATTATTATTATTACCATATTTTATTTAAACAGGTAATTTTAGAAATTACCTAACAAAATTTGTAATAATAATAAAAACAAAGTTTAAAGTGATTTAGTAGACCAGCATCTGTATAAGAGCCACTGCAAATAATTGTTTTGGTATACTTGCTCTGCTAGCTTGATATGCTTTATTGGATTCTTGAAGAACTTGTATTTGTGACCTCTTAATCCTTTCCTTTTTTCTAGTTGAAAGAACCTGGTGAACGGTGTTTCTTCTTTTTCAGTTATTAACATATATCTGAATCAGATCTCCTCTGCATTTTCTCTTGTATTTGTTTTACTTTTCTTTTCTGTGACAGAAACAACGAGTCAACTCTAGTTTAAAAAAGCTATATCTATTCGTACTCATTTGAATAAATGACTAGCAAAAAAGTTTGTTATTGAATAAATTTATCCATTTCATTGTAAAACATTTAATTTTTGCATTGAATTTCATTTATTTTATTTTTTTCTTGATCATTTGTTAATAAAAGCATTATTATTGTTATTATTACTACAGTTGCTATTAGTGAGATTAGCATTGCTATCAACGTTGCTAATTATTGTATGAGTTAGAAGAGTTGTTTTGTTCTGTTTTGGTTAATCAAGGCTGGTTTTTTAAGGTTTTTTTATTAGAATGGCTTCGGCGAGTCTAAGATTCAGGTAGAGTGCACTCTCATGTAGATGATGATTGTGATGTTATCCAGTATAAGTTTGGTGTTTATAGTGTTGTAATATAAAATTGATCAAGTTATAGTGAAGAAAATACAAAATATTATAACTTCTACAGACCCTAATGATAAAATTAAAATAAGACTTTTCTACAGAAAAGATACAAGAAGATTAACGTCGTGCATCACATTCGGAAATTATCAATTTTGTTTCCTAGCGGGGAAATCAACAATTGATGCAATTCACATCCTTCGGCAACTGCAAGAGAAGTACCTCGCAAAGCAAAGCTCTAAATTTAAATGATATGGCAAAGAGAACAACGTCCTACCTCGGGAAACCGGGTCTCTGGACGCAAAACGAAGATTGATTGATTGATACAGAAACACAAAAACTTCTAAATTCATTTATCTGAAAATGAGGATAAAAATGAAAATTTCATTAAAAAATAACACCACGTCATTAATCATTCCTAAAAAGTAAAGTAAATTTTAAACAATAAAGCTCAGCCAATTGGTCAAATTCGTTTTTTATATGTATAAAAGCGGGGGAAACTTCACGCATATTTACGTGGTCGATAATTCGGTTTTGTTCCGACGCGCAATTTTGTTTTTTAAATTGAAAGTCTTAGTATTTAGAATAAGTTACGGTATAATCATGTGCGAAATTAATTCGTTTTATTTGGATGTAAATTTGAAGAAATCAGTTTTAAACGCTTACAAAGCAAAAGAATCTTATTCTGATTCAGGTTGGCTGGTTGGATGTTGCTGTTGATGGTGTTACTGTTGATGGGTAGAATGTTAGATTGGTGTTATTACCACATCGCTACAAAATGAAAATGGCTTTTAAGGTTGAACGTCACGAGAATTAGCATCATATATAAATAATCAAATTAAAACACTCAATTAAAATTCAAAAACAAAAAAAGATAACAATATTTTATTTTTGATTTAAAAATTT